CTCCACAGTGGCGACACTACTTCACAGCTTTTTGTAACACCTCCTGCTAGGGGGTGTCAGACATATTCAAGCTTGTGTGGGGGTCAGGAGAAACCCAGAGTACGAAAGTAGAGGATTCCCCCAACAGACCCATTCATTGAGTTTCTCCAGTGGATATGAACTGAATCCCTTGCTATTGTTGTTGTTGTTGTTAACTACCGTCAAGTTGATTCCAAACATAGTGACCCTGTATAGGGTTTCCAAGGAGCAGCTGATGAGTTTGCATCGCTGACCTTGCAGTTTAAACAACTTTACAGTCTGACGCATTAGCCCACAGTGCCATACCAAGACTTCTTGCTATTATTACTGCTTTGTAAATGAGAAGCCTGTAACTCCCAGGGAAATTACGCTCTGTCCTGGGGAGGGTTTCACCTCATACCCAACATGGGGGGAGAGGTGGAAACAGGTCAGGCTTTAAACCCAGTTTCTTATAGTGTGTGTGAGTGCAAAATGTGCGTATGTGTGTGCATATGCGTGCATGTCTGCCAACCCTGGTCGTCCCCACCCATCAGGATGAGGGACTCCTTTTCTAGGACTGGCACTTTCTCTGATTCCAGTGCCTTCCCTTCTCAATCCTTCTGGAAGGCATTTCCTGTGTCATAATTTCACTTGGACTCTTCTTGGGTGTGGATGCCGTGACTCTACCCAGAAGCTACCCTACTCCCTCCCAGAGCTACTGGGAGGAAGAAACCAGTGACTGTAAAAGTCACTGCATACAGCAGGTGCTCAGTCATTCTTCCAGGCTTGGGGAGGAGGGCGGCTGACCATGGTGGACAGAAATCAGTCAAGGCAAAGCTGGGGCTGAGAGGAGGGTGTGGAGCTGGCATGGGCAGAGCTGGGGGAAGGCATGCTGGAAGAGGGAAACAGCCAGCGAAAGCCTCCAAGGTGGGGATGAGCTTGGCTGGTTCTAGGAGCAGTCTGGAAGAACCAGAATGGCTGGAGTTGATGGAGGGAGATGGGAGTATGGGATTGGAGAGGCTGACAGGGACCAGACCATGTAGGACATTGCAGTACAGGCTAGGGGTCTAAATTTATTCAGGGCGTAATAAGGAGGCACAGGAGGATTTTGAACAGCGAAGGCCATGATCTGGTTTCTTGTTTTGGGGGACTCTAACTGCATCTCATTATTTAAACAGTTTTTGTTTTTCAAAGTGGCAAAATTTCCCTGGTGTGGTGCTGAGGATAAGCTCTCGACCGCAAGGTTGGTTCTAGCCATAAGGTCTGCGCTTCAAACTCCTCAGCTGCTCCTTCAAAACCCTATAACAGGGTCCCTAGGAGTTGGAACCAATTCGACAGTACTTGACAACAACAACAACAACAACACACATACAGACATATATAAAAGAAAACATTTGCTGGTTCAACAATTTCTACTTGTACATTTCAGTGACATTGATTACATCCTTCAAGTTGTACAACCTGTCTCACCCTGCTTTTCCAAATGATTGC